CATGGTCCCATCATGTTGGACGAGGACTTACTGGTTCAGTATCCCACTTCACTGACCTGTGAGCTCTGAGGAGGTGGGATTCCCTCCCCTGTCTCTGCTAAAACCCATAATCAGCCCACAGCCTGGCACAGGGGGTTTCGTAAATATGTACGCATTGAATAAACTCCTGGGTCAATACAACCCACAGGAAGGTGCGTATGAGGATGCTCACTGCAGAATGGCTTGTCAGTCCACCAAGTGGAAAACAACCTGAAATGCAGCCTCAGGGTCTGGATAAAGCGTCACAGTGTAGCCGCACCGAGGAATAACAAGGAACCAACAAAAACACAACTGGAACAAATCCGCATGCCCTGATGAACATTTGCTCACTGTGAGCAAATGTTACCAACCGTAATGGAATTCGAGGATGTGGGGTGGTAAAAACCACGAGAGGGACACATGCCAAAGCATCGCCGGAAAATTCACACTAACTGTAAACATTGCTACTTTCTGGAAACAGAACTGGGACAAGAGTGGGGTTAAGGGACCTGACATACACTTGTGTTGTTGGAATTTACCACACACGTGGTTTTCTATATAGTTTTTGAAAAACAGACAAGTCATTTTAAAAGGTCCAGAAAGTGTCTAAATCCTGAGGTCTACGTGCAGGCCCTCCCTTCCAGCCCCCACGCTGCAGAGACCCTTGAATACAGCCCTGTTACTATGCAGGCCTGTCCTGTCCTCCGAACTCCAGTCGAGACTTCAGGGAATAAGACCACAAAAATGTCCAGACTACAGGAAGAAATAGGACACCTCGCCTCCTCACACCCTCTCACTGCTATTCTACTGTTCTAACACCCTCAGGTCAAGGAGACCCTTAGGTCATGGGACAGGGGTGTGGCCGGCCTCAGGAGAACCTGGGATTTGTATCCTGGTCTTCTATCTGGTTCCCAGTACTGCACAGTGATGCCTGACCACCTGTGCCACTATGGCTGGGCCCAGAACACTAATTAGAGCCCTGGTCAGTGCCTGTCCTGACCTAAGAGGTGCATTGAAGCCCTCAAGACCATCAAAAGGTGGGTATGGTGCCACTGTCCGGATTAAACCATCTGTGGCTTCCACTGTGTAAACCACCCCATGACAGGAGTAGCCCAGGGGCTCTGGTCAGCCTTTGGAGTTCTGAACCAAAAAAGCACTAATTTTAGGGAATCAAGTGAGATATTCCCAAAAAACAAATTGGAGTTGAATAACAAACTGCCATGAACCATGCTTCTTTTCTTTGAATTGACCTGTGGAAACCACTGCCTCAAAAGAATAAAAGGAAACCCAACATGAAAAACAAAAATGGGGGAACCAGCAGTTAGCATAATGGCTATGTCGCTGGACTCCCACGTAGTCGACTGCGGTTCACGTCCCGGACCCGGTGGCTTAGAACTCACGCTGGGCGTGTGTGCGTGCGTGCCCAAGATCCCGAGAGGAGAATGGAGGAGAAGGGATTGCAGCGTGACCATCCCCCCTGGGGGATGATTTCTCGCTTTCTGTCTCTATGTCTCTCTCTGTCTGTCTGGCGAGCGCACGCACCCTATAGCAAAAACCTCTCAAAAAAAAAAAATGCAGACCACAGTTGACGCTCATGCTGATGTCAAGACCACCGATGATTATTTGCTTCATTTCTTCTGTGTTAGGTTTACTGAACAATACCATGTTCCGACATGGAAGACCTCTTACGCTCAGCATCAGCAGGTCCACCAAGACTGGAAGAAGATCATTTAAGTCACGGCCTGGGCGGTGCAGACAATGACTTGAAAGAAGTGGTCAGTAAACTGATCCCAGAAAGCATGGGGAAAGACACAGAAGGGCTTACAAATCATCCTCTTCGTGACGTCTTTGTCAGAAAAATAAAAATACTGAAGAAGTCCAACTTTGAAAACTCACGGAGCTTCATGGTGATGATAGTAGTTCTGAAAGAGTGACTGGGAACGAGAGGGGCACTGAAGTTGAATGAGCTGATGGATATGAACCACCCATCCAAGAATCTGTTTAAACTTCAGACTTTTTTGGGGGGGAGTGGGGTGAGGTTTCTGCTATAGGGTACATGCGCTTGCCAGAAAGACACAGTCAGAGAGACAGGAAGCGAGCAATTAC